GCAGAAATGGTGCTGGAGAGCAATTCTCCACAGTCGACACCCACGTTTTGTGTTCGGTAACCGAACGACAAGTGGCGTATCGTTCACGCTTACAATAAACTCAACGCTGCCACCGTTCTGACAGAGACGCCGATTCCTAGGAAGGATATTCTCCAGAACGACATGGTTGGATGTACAAAGTACAGCGCACTCGACTTGCTCGATACGTTTTACCAATTGCTCATGAGGACAATAATACTTTTGCTGACAGCGGAGTACTCCGAGCAGAATGCTCTGGAAGAAGCTGATACCCAAAGACTCTCAAATGGCCAGCAACATTTACGCCTTGTGGTGCAGTTGTATAGGTCCCACCGCGCGTATGCACAGACATACTTTGACGACATCTTCGTCCACAGTCGTGCTGATCACAGAACCACATCGCTCATTTGAGAACGGTGCCCGAGTGCATGCGCACGAATAAGCTGTATGATAATGCAGACTAGTGCATCTTTCGCGCTGAAGATGGGTTCTTCATTGGGAAGCGTGGCCTCAGAGCGGGCCCCGCTAGGGTCGAGGCCATCATGGACTGGCCGGTTACAAAAGAACCAAGAGGACTTGCGCATTGTTCTTGGCCTCGCCAACTATTTGCACAAGTACAGCGAGAACTACGCAGATTTGGCACGGCCTTTGTCGAATCTCTCATAGAAGGATGCGGAATGGTGCTGGGGTATCGATCATCGGGAGGCTTTTGACGGGGTCAAAGACATCCTCTTTTATGCGCAATACTGGCCTTGCCAGACCCTGATCGTCCTTTAAGTGTCGTCTGTGACGCTTTGAGCTTTGCCATCGACTGTGCACTGCTGCAAGCAGACGCCGAGGGGCGAGATCGGGTGTCCGCGTTCGAATTTCGACAGCTCAAAGCTGCAGAGAAGAACTACCCAGTTCACGACAAGGAGCTACTTGCGATAAAGTATGCACTTGTTAAGCTCAGGGTCCACCTGCTCGGCTCCAAGCCGTTTGTGATCTATACAGATCATGCGTCAGCGACTCAGTCG